GGCCCAGACAGCGCACAGACCCCAGCCCATACCATTTGCGGATGGCATGGCCTTTTATTTGAGGCACCCACGCACTTGCCAGCGTGCTATGCAAAGGGACAGCCGTTGGGTCTTGATATACAAGTGGATTTAACGGAAATTGCCATCTCCATCTAAGGGAATTATTAGATTCTGCAAGCGGATCTAACCATGCCCATGACTGCGTTTGAATGAGTCGTTACTTCACTCAGAAAATGTTATCTGTGCCTGGACATAAATATCTTCCCTAAACATTATTTTCTCCGCTCAACGTCACTCGGCGTCATAATTTATGAAACATGCAACTAATTGGCCAGCAACTGTTTAATCGCCTGAAAACTCAACAAAGTTGTAATTTTCCCCCACACAACTTGCTGTCAGGGCAAACTTTGAGTTTGCCTCCGCCTCCGCCTCCGCGCGCCGACCTGTTGATGTCTTCGTTTGTCTGCAATGTCGGCGGCAGCGAATGATTAAATTGGAATTACTTATGCCCAACTATTTTGCGGCTCTGTGGCAGGCTGTGCGGCACTGGAGACGAGTCGAGGAAAGCAGGCTGCGTAGATTGAGGGCGCGGTGGCTTATATTTACAATTTGAAATGACATTTTGATGTGCACCTGTCAACACTCTTGGCCAAAAATGTCGCAAAGTGTGTGACAAGCGACTTCCGGCGCTGATAAAGTGCGCTCGTGTGTGTGTGTGTGTGTGTGTGTGTGTGTGGCAATCGGGGGAGGGGTGGCGGCTAACGACAAGCGGCATTGACAAATTTATTTGGGGGCGCATGTCTCGCCTGGCTTTATTTGTAACTGAGGCCCGCTCCGACGCTTCGTGTCGGAGGCTTCGTGTTGCCGGCTAATGGTAACAAGTGTCTGACAAGTGTTTGAGAAGCGCAGAGGAGCGTCTGGGTCTACTCTCGAGAGCATGAGCAGGGCAGGGCAGGGCAGGGCAATTTGTGGGAGATTTATGGGACTGGCTGCTCAAGTATCCGAAAGGGGCCAACGGGGAACGTTCCCCTCCCTTTGGCTTTATCTAAAGAGCATATCGGTGTTTGCCACTAAAAGATGCTGCAAATCATAAGCAAAGGGAAAGCAAAGGCAAAGCCAAAGCCAAAGCCAAAGCAAAAGCAAAAGTAACAAGAAGTGACGGCAAAACGGAAGTGGCCACCAACAGGTGTCCCTGGCCATGCCACGACCCATGTCCAACACTTGTATTCGTGGCAGGCGGCATGTGGCACGCTGCCTCGTTAATTTATGGCACACTCGCTGCCCATGACAGGCAGCGTTGCAAGCAATGTGGCTGCAGCGATTCCCGCTGGGTAACGTTGCAATTGATTAACGTCAGCATTGCAAATGAAGCAGAACAGAGAGTGCCCCCATGCCCCACGTCACATGCCACATGCGCCATGCCCCATGCCCCATGCCCCATGCCCCATGCCACATGCTCTTCGGTGTGGCTTTGGTCTGTTGCTGTTTTTAGTTTGGTTCTTATCAAAGACCTGCACAGAGAGGCACACACATCGCACACATCGCACACACGAGCACCTGTCCAGGGACTTTACCGTCTGTGATGCTTCATTAGCGTTGACAGGGACACAAAGAAGCTGTGCTGGTGGCTCTGCGGCAAACGGGAACTGTCACCCGCAGACCCCACCCAAAAAACATACACAATCTTCGCCTCGTTAGCCTGTCAACCACATTCGAGGCAGAGACATATGCAGAGACAGAGGCAGTGGCAGTGGCAGTGGCAGCAACATGAAGAGAGAGAGAGAAACTATTTCTTGAAGTTGCCCCAATAATTCCTTGAAGTAACGATCCCCCCCAGTGAGGGGCCCACGACAAAATGCTGCCACAAGAATGCCGCGGGCAAGCCAAGCCGGCAGGCAGAATCACGACTCTGCAAAGGGAGCCAGGAATGGTCATGACAAGCCTCTGCTATCTGGCAACGGACAGATGCTACCTCTGCTGCTGCTGCTGCTGCTGCTGCTTCTTGTGGTGGTTCGCTTTGAAATGTTTGGCCAGCAGACAAATAAGCTGATGTTGATTGTTTCTGCTGCTGCAGACAGCAGTGGCAACAGCAGCGGCAACAGCAGCAGCAACAGCAGCGGCACGTAAACGATACTGACGGGCCCAGTGGATAGCCTGTGCCTGTCCATCTCGCCAGGCGAAACTTAATTTCTACATTTGCTGGAAGATAAAGACGTGGTGGCTAGCACGGGCAGACGACAGCGCTGAGTGGGTAAACGGGTGGCCGCACCGCACAGTGGGCCACAGCTGGCATCTGGCACGCATCTCATCTCATCTATTCCATTAGACGCTTTTAGTGATTGTTAAGTTCCAATTAACAACTTTTTCTGCCAGTTCGTACGCCGATGCCGATTGAACGACTGCCGACTGCCGACGGGATGGCATCGATGGATGGATGGATGGATGGATGGATGGTTGGACGGATGGTTGCAATGGAATGGACTGACTGCCTTTAAAGGTAAAATCCACTGCTGGCGCTGGTGGCGGTGCCGGTTCGGCTCCACTGCCTCGGAGCGGAGCCGCCCTGAGCACAAGATGTTGGCCATGTCTTCGAAACGTTAATTGAACCCGCACACACTCTGGACTGGTCTGGTAAAGGCCCATGTCCATCCAAGTGCCACATAAGCTGTGTAGCTTGTTTGTTTTGGCTTTGTCACTGCCCCCACCGCCGGACGCAACTGTTGCACGCCGCTGCCCCCGTCCCACATATTTTACCATTTGCTGTGTGAGTCACGTCGACGTGTAGCATCATCGCGTGCTACGCCAGCGACTTTCCTGCATTGTAATTCTTTATGATGTCCAATAACAATTTGTTTTAATTCTCCTGCTTTGCTTATGGCCAGCAGTCCAGCAGTCCAGCAGTTGCCGTGGCCTCAGCATCAGCCTCAGCCCCGGCTCAACTGCCACTAACACTGATGATCTCCATCCCCATCCCCATCCCCATCATCATCTGAGCATTTGAGCATCACGAGCATAATGAAAATTAATTGAAAACCTGATTGAAATTGTGCACTGAGCAGTTCAATCAGCGAAAGGCTTTTTGCTATTGTTTAGATTCATTTTTCAGCCTCTTTGTGCTCTCGCTGATGCGGGAAAAATTCGTCTGGCGGTTTAGGCTTTTGTGGGGAAAATGCGATTTTTGTTTTGCCATGCCGACAAAAATAGCTCAAAATTAAAATTAATTTGAAAATGTTTAATACAATAAACACTGCCGCGCCGATGAGCGAAGAGCGAAGAGCAAAGAGCGCCGGTAATGATACCCAAATCCATATACGTTTTATTGTCTATTATGAAATGAAGTTGTTGAACGATTTTGACAGCAAATTAATTGGAGAGGCAAGAGGCAGGACGCAGCACGCAGCACCCATAGGAAATGCCAATCAATGCGAAATTGCCACATTTGATGAGGGTATGTCGGGGCATTGTGAACGATTGCCAGCGCATTTGTATTACACATTTTATTGGATTTAAACTGAAGAGTAAGCTGATGAACCTGATTGATTAGTATTAATTATTGTATTTGTATTTGTATTTAGAATTTAATTTTGGAATCATTTTTTATATATATCGAGAATGTTTTCATATAGCAGTTGTGGAAGAAATATCTTTGAGCATAACACATCATATCTGCTTGCTATTCGAATAGCCAAAGGCTATACGATATTTGGGATATTTGGGTATTCCAGTAGTTCTCTGATTTTGTTATCTCTGAACTATAAACCATATCTAAATGAATAAAGACTAACAAGGTTAAGAACCAGATATTTCCTGATTGGCCAAGTCAGGAGCCATGATTTATTTGCCTCCAGCGTCATCCATTCACCCAAAGTAGCTGCACAGATGCCACTATAGATACAGTACGTATGCGCCCGAGTATATTATCTTTGATAATATTTGCTTATTCCACCGTTGGAAACCAAACATTGAAATATATTTACATTTAAATGCATTTGCCTCCTACCCAAACGTGTGGATGCAGATGCAGATAGTTGGATCAAAAGTGAATTTCCCTCTGAGAGATAGCGTTGGGGCAGAATTTATTGTTTAAACTGAAAGCAAACTCACTTCGGGCCCACTATATACAGTAGTTCTATCTGCGAGTTACGTGCGGGTATCTATGACATCCATGTACCAAGTACCGTACCTGTAGCCTATGGTGCAGTTTGGCGCCACAAATGCGGCTAATGGGCTAATGGCAAATGGCAAATTCGGCTGACGGCTGGCTGGCTGGCTGGCTGGCTGGCTGGCTGGCTGTCTGGCTGATGGAAAATTGTTTGCTTTGGCCAGGCGCTGGCTCAACCTGTTACAGGGAGTGACAAATGGCGGCAGATATATCATGATCATCGCATAATGATGATAGTGTCGCGTCGTGCTGTGCTGTGCTGTGCTGTGCCGTGCCATGAAATCATCGATTGTACGCGCACAACAATTAAAGACACTTCCACCGATCCCCAAGATTTATGGCCTTGCAACGTGCGTCAGCATCTACTGGGGAGCGGGTGGGCGTGGACCTGGGCGTCGCCGATTTGGAAATTACAAATGAAATGAAATCAAAGGAATTTGGCCATTGATTTATGCAGCTCCCTGCTCTCTGAGATTTGGATTCGGATTTGCTTCCGTCCCCTGCCCACACCCCAAACAAAGCCAATTTACACATTGAATAGATTGGCCGTCCCCAGACTAAATCCTTTGAGCATTTCCAGCCCCAAATACAGATTTGCATAATGGCCAAGGATGGGGCCGAGGCATCGGCATCGGCATCGACATCGGAAATAAGTCTTCAAGTCGAACGATGAAGTATGAAGAATGATGGCGTTCCATTCATTCCTTTCTCAGGAGGCCAGGAGGCGACAATGAAGTCAAACAAAAGAATCATAATTTCCGGTCGCCTACACTTCAGCCCACTTCTTCCCACGGCTGCATGTGTGGCTGAATATTTGTGCCATTGTGGGGCAACTTACCAGAAAAGGGGGGCTCGTCTCTAGCTGGTGGGTGGAAATTCTTCTAAGCAACTTGCCGCATACCCAGCGGCGTTGCAGTGGCTCTGGTGCTGGTGCTGGTCGTAGGTTCTAGGTTCTAGGTTCTAGGTCCTGGTCCTGGTCCTGGTTCTTTTCCCGTTCCCAGTCCTTGTCCTGACTGCAGCCAAGCGCCGCTCGTTGACGTTGTCAGCAGTTAATTGAATTAGTTGTTAATTTATGGCGATGTTTTCACTGGGAATTCTGTGAATGCCAATGTGTGTGTGTGTTCGGGGCGGAGCGGAAGTCTGCTCGCAATGGAGTGAAGGTATGCCAAGGACTTTCGCAGCGAGTTCTTCGAGTTGAGGCTCCGGCACTCTTTTGTGTCACAAGCGGCAGGGAAGTCGGGGGTGGTCTTGAGTTGATTAAATGCCTGTCCCGCCACCTAAATTGGCATTTAAGAAGCTCGGAAACGCGCCCGAACGGATAACTGATAGCCGAGTGGCGAGCGGGAAAATCATAAACACGTTCGCCTTCTTCGGGTGTGAGGGAAACTTTTTATTGTGTACCCATTTAATTTTAATGTGCAATTTAATTTTGCGTTCGAGTTCTTTTGGGTTCGCACTCTCGCACTTCTCGGCGGTCGGAAGATGTGGCCCCGGCCCGGCCAGATGAGCCCGTGGAGCGTTCTGAGTACGCGGCAGTTGAATTTCAACTGAAATCCGCATGCCACACAGCAGAAGCCGGCCCGGCCCGGCCCCAACAATGTTGCCAGCGAGCATGTTGCCACTGCCACCCAGTGGCAACAACTGGCACTCGTCTCGCTCTGTCTGCCGCATTGGCCACTGGGTCGCGTCGGTCGCAGTTGTTGCTCGCGACATGTTGCGTTGCGTTTGATTGCTGATTACAGAACGGTCGCAGCTGATAAGAAAACGGGACGGGGATTGTTCTTATGGGTTCTTGGTCTCCGTTGCCTGTATTTATTGTTGCACTTGTAGGTTGGCGCCGCTCATAAATCTTGAGTTTCACAATCGCTCCCCTAATTGCTGCGAAATTTCGAATTTAAATTCAAATTCAGACTATCAGCAACACAACTACGAGTAGTTGGGCAAAGCCAAAAAAGGGGAATTTAGACTCAAATAAACACTTTGGAAGGGCAACCAAATACAGCGCACACTTGTTGATAGGCGGAAGTCTGTTTACATTTTGAGTCCTTTGGCAAGTTTAGAAAGCTAATAGAGCTTAGAAAGCTCCTCCTGCCGCCCGATAAAAGCCTGCTTGGTGCTTATCATTGCTGAAATTTCCAACGGTAGCAAACGAAGCTGCCATGAAATATTAACAGTGGGCTAACAGTTGGCTGTTAGCCATTCTGTTGTCAGTGCAGCGAAGCAGCCGCAAAAGCTTCATGGAGAAAAAAGCCCTGAAACTGTAATATTTACACAAAGATTTCAAGATGTATGCCAACAAATAACGATGTTTGTATTAAGAAATGGAATATTTCATTTATATTTATATGTAAAATGTTTCTTAGCAATATAATTGCAGGTATACTAATGTTACATAGACACACAAAACTGATTGATTGATTTTATTTAACTACTGTACCTGCAAATTGATAGATGAGTTATTCGCGCAGCGAACTAAATGTCTTCGAGGGGCTTAGATAAAGTTAAGCAAAGATGGGAATCACTTGGTTGTGCACACCACTTGATAGATTGTTTCGCATGGTGTTCAAACAAGTCAAAGGAGATAGCAGATAGCAGCCACCTGTACGAGCTGTAGCCTCTTCAGATAATAAATCGCTTGTCTGGCGGTTGTCAGTGACAAGTCACACACACACACACACACACACACCTGCCCTGTTCTGTTCTGATAATAGTGCTGCAATTGCCTGTAATTGATAGAGCAAGCGATCCGATGCGAAAAGAAAACGAAAGGGCTGGAAACCAACACAACCAGAGAGACATCCGACTTGTTGTTTGCCAAATCAGCTACCCAGACAGTTATCTGTTGATTGCCCGACCGCTAATACATGGGCAAACAGTTGGAAAGCTCAAAGTCTTTCGGTAAAAGCATTTTATTGACAATTTGAATGGACAATTTGGTCACTCAGCAAACACAATCGCGGCCGGCTTAGTCGACGGTGTAGGTAAAGGCAAAGCCTGCCTCCGATTGCCTGTAAACGTCGTCGCTGTTGAACAGCACCAGCAGGGGACCAGGATTGTTGGCTGAAAGAGAAACCATGCCGAGACATTGAATATGAGTAACAGATGGCTGGGGGGGCAGCCTTGCTATAAAAAAAAGCTTTGCCTGGCAACTCACTTGATATGACGACATCCTTCTGGATGGAGCCGCAGAAGTAGGTGGCGTGCTTGTGACTGTCCTCGAGCGTGGCCTGTGGCACCATGAGGAAATCGGCATCCAGATCGCTGGTGCTGTCGCTGCTGTAGCACGAGTTGTCCGTCATCAGAGTGCTGGCCGACTCCTGAGCCCCAACGTTGAAGTGGTAGGCGCGGATGCTGTTGTGGCAAGTAGTTGGGAGTAAATTGGGGAACTGCCAACAACAGATTCCATATGTTTGTGGAATTCTTACGTGAGTGCGGAGGTGGTTTCGGTGCGACGGAAGCAGATGGCGTAGTTCATGCGGGAGGGATAGATGCCGGCGCCCTCGTTGTAGTTGAAGGACTTGACGACTCCCTTGGCCTGGGGGAAGTACTGCAGGCAGCCGGGCGGGGCCACAAAGAAGCCATCCGATGTGGAGATTGCCCTAGGCTCGACCTCGACCTCCGCATTGACCTCCAGCTCGCGAACGGCGGCTCCCGGGGGACACTCCAGCTGTTTGACGGTCATGTCCCAGTAGGGCGTTGGCAGGCCATAGGAGCCGGCACGATTGGCCAGCGACACCGATAGATCCACAACGGACTCTCCGCCGGTGGCATTGAACGGCACGTAGATGTGCTGCCAGACCTCGGTGCCGCACAGCTTCAGGCCATTCACCTCGAAGTAGTCGTTGGTGCACTCGGCATAGGTCTGGCCCGTGCTCTGCTGCGTCTCCAGCGTGGGCTGGGCCAGGGTCATGGCGAAATCGATGCGCAACTGGCACACGTACTTGCTGTAGGCCTTGATCTGGTACTCGCACACCCGCGGCGGGATGTCCGGATTCACCAGGTTGATGTTCTTCGAGGAGGTCGTCGCACCGCACACCGGCTTGGCCACCGAGGCGGCCTGTGCGGCAGCCACTGCCACGAGCAGGAGAAAGGTGCTTGCAATGTAGTCGTTCATTGTTCTGGAACTCCTGAGTGATCGCTGCCCGGGGGCTTTTATGGGGCTGCCGCAGCTGCGACTATCTGCGCCAACTATCGCTGACAGTCGACGAGCTAATTAGCAATGTCTCAGTGTCGCCAAACACGATCGATAAGGTTTATCGCCAACCCGGTGGGGCCCCGGGGGCCACCTGTTTAATTGTCAAGTGAGTAGCAATTTACCAAAACATTTAACTCTGATTTAACTCTGCTATAAATAGCCGAAAAATGTACGGAATGGAGGTTTTCTATCAGGCTGCATGTCGCAGCAGCGAATAGCTTGCACCACAACATTGAGGTTTCTCCTTTTCCAATCATTGCCAATCATTGGTTGGATCTTCTCTCTCCTGCTGGTTGGATCGCTGATTTTTGTTTTATTTTTGGAATATTAAGCGAAAATCTCTGCTCTCGATACGGCCGATTGGTCGAAACAGAAACAATCAAAGTCGCTTGCTACCTTTATATTGCATTTGAACCTCATTAGATACCCCACACTGACGTGCTTATCAACAATATTCAATAACAATAGCAGCCATTAAAAAATCTTCACTGTCAGTGCAAAGCAAAAAGAAAAGAAAAACCTCTGAAGCTTTTATTGTGCAATTCTTCGGCATGTAACAGATGGGAATTTTGTAATTTTGCTGCACAGAGAAATTTATCTCTGAGAATGATGTGTGGTGTGTGTGTGTGTGTGTGCGTGTGTGGGTAGCAGCCCCCTTTTCTTTTTGTACCCGTACTCAAAAAGAGTTAAGGGGTATATTAGATTTGTGGTAAAAGTGGATGGAATCGTTTCCGACCCTATAATTTCCCTTCCGCCCCACATAGGCCAAAAATCTGTGGCAGCCATAATTAAAAAAAAAATAAAATAAAAGCTCAGTATCATAGAGAATGACCTTATCTACCAGATTGCCGAATGCGAATCAGATCGGATCATAATTATAGCCAGAACGAAGAAATTAATTTTCAGTTGCTTCCCCCACCTCCTCCAGCGTTGCTAGCGCTACTCATTCTCTTTCTCGCCCGCACACACTCTTCCCTGTGCAATGCTCTACATTGTGTATGTAGAATCTACATTTTAGATGTGTAATCGACGATGTAGATGTAGATAACAAATGTAGTACAAAAAAAATGTAAAATATTTTAAAATTCTACATAAATCATAAGCTCAAAAATGTATATACTGACTGAGTACGGGTATACGAGTAGAGTCGCGTCCACAGAAGCGACTCACACGTTCCTTCTCGTGTTTTTTGACATCATCATTACTCATCATCCGCTGTCTCGGGTGTACGATATCATCACCATCTTGATTCGGTATGATGACACTCGATAATGAGAAACCAATGGTGAGAAACTGTAATGTACGAGTACGAGTACGATATGTATGTATGTATGTACAGACATTGAGGAGAGTGGACAAACATAACCCAGTTTCAGCGGATCGAAGATCACAATAATGAACATTCCGTTTAGGTTCAATGACTGGGCTGGGCAAACAAGTTAATAGAGGCAACTAGCCTGCTTTTTGAATATTCATGGGCCACTAAGAGAATATACATACGCACTGGTGCTGGTGCTGGTGCTGGGAACTCTTCTTACTACTTACCAAATATTGACACGGCTGGCTTCTAACACGAAAATCTCATCACCGCATCGGCGTTGCCAGAGGCGTCGCCTCCGCTTCTTCTTCTGCTTTGGTGGTGGCTGCTGTTGCTGCTGCTGCCCCCGCTATGCTATCTATCGTATAAAAGCAGCCCACGAACCGGGAGACTCTCACAGTTGATGTGAAAGTATAGCCGGGACTAGAACAAAAACCAAGTAGATACAGACAGATACTCGCACTCGCATAATGATTGTATTTTCGCTGCTACTCGTGTGGTGCATGGCCTGCGCGCATGCGGAGACCTTGACCGACTTCAACTTGAACCCACTGAATGCTACGGCCACAGAGCCACCGGGGATGTGGCGCCAGGCGAAGCGACGCAGCACCCTGGAGGATACTTGCATCACCACCAGCGGCGTCACGGGCACCTGTCTCTCCCGCTTCAAGTGCATGCGGCAGTCGGGCACGGTCAATGGCTACTGCGGCACCTACGGCGTCTGCTGTGAAAGTGGGGATTACGCGCCGCCACGATCACGTGTACGAACTCTAACTCTCTCCCTCTCTTCATAGCCAACATGCAGAGCGGATCGAGCACGCGCCAGAAGCGGATCATCATCAAGAAGCCCGCGACACTGACCAGCGATCTGACCACCTACACCATTGAGGCGTACAGCGTCAACGTCCAGCAGCTGCGCATCGACTTTGAGCAGTTCGAGCTGCAGCAGCCCATCCTCACGGACGCGATGCTCGAGTGCCAGGACTACTTCGAGGCGGGCGGCTTCAAGCTGTGCGGCGTCAACACGGGCCAGCACCTCTATCTGCCCTTCAATGTGGCCGCCGGCATCGAGCAGGTGACCCTCACCTTTGCCGTGCCCACAAGCTGGACGGGCACCAACTGGCGTCTGATCGTGACCCAGCTGGAGGGTCCGGCGGCCAGCACCAAGCGCCGCTCGAGTGCGGCCAGTAGCACCTTCACCGGCAGCACCAACACGCTGCAGGATCTGCGCAACATCTTCGCCTCACACCACGCCGACTACGAGCTGCTCGCTCCGGCGGGCTGCCAGCAGTTCTACACAGAGCCGACGGGCACCATTCGCAGCTTCAACTACCAGGCGATGCTCGGCAGCAACTATATGCCCGATCTGAACTATAACATCTGCATCAAGTCGGTGGCCAGTGCCAGCATGATTGAGTGAGTGGGCCCGGGGGGAGCTTGGGTGGGTGGTGGCAGCATTCATACATTTTCCAATATTCGTAGATACGCCTTCAGCAAGTTCTCGATGGCGATGCAGATTGGAGATGCCGAGGGATATGACGAGTTCTGCCATGCCACCGTCCACACGACGGGCCGACAGGAGGACTACCTCATGATACCGCAGGGCATTCTGGCCAAGAACACCGCCTATCAGCCCACCTACTACTGCGGCACCAATGACAACCTGCTGGTCTATGGTAAGTCTAAGTCCGCGGGGGATGGGCAGGTGGAGTGGCACCGCACTGATATTGAGTTACCGTTACCTTTCCACAGCCTCTCCACCCTACCTCATGCACTTCTCGAGCGATGAGCTGACTCTGGACGAGGCCATGGAGACGGGCTTCAGCCTGACGTATCGCCTGAGGACCTCCATCCTGTAGTCGCTGGACTGGCAGTTCGTCTTAAGTGGCCATTTAAATAGGTTTTTGATAGGTTTTTGTATCAGGTTATCCTAGAATTTAATAAACTAGATTCCAATGTCTTTAAGTGCAGCGCGAGCTTAAAGCTCTTTAGTTTTGCTTTCTCGCAATCAATCGGTTAACGAGCTTGTCAGAGCTCAAACGAGGGGATTATGATTGGGGGGGAGGATTGGGGGGTAACACACAACATACATACTTGGGTGGCGGGGTGTGGCGGGGTGTACATGTGTATCACAGATACGCAAAAAGTTCGAGAAACGCATTAAGGAGCGCGGTGTGCGGTCAGCGACACGATTATCCTTTTAGTTGCGTAATTAGTGTGATTAAAGGCGAGCAGAGCAGCGAAGCGGAGCGACGCGACGTGAAGCGCGTTACGCTGGAGGGGTAAGCCTCAATGGGGTACCGTGTCCGTGTCCGTGTGCGTGTGCGGCGTGCCCCATGCATTGCCACACGCAACCAGCACCCCATCATAATGGAGAAGAACGGCAAACAAATTCAAATGTATAAAACGCACCATTGCCAGCATTGAGCTGTTAGCATCGAGCCCCCCCCCCCCCTCCATACTCTCTCTCTCTTTGTCGCCCCGAGCCACCTTTCACTTTGACAAGGTGCTAGATTTTCTATAACGCTAATTGCCTGCCGCGCATTCCGTCTGCGATCCCAGCTCAGCTCTGAGAATTGGTCGCCCCCGCAACTCACTCACACACACACGCACACGCACACACACGCAGTCTGATGTGCATGTGGCACCCACTCCAGTGGCTGGGGGGGGGGCGCAGTGAGGTGAGTGGTGTAAATTGTAAAATAAGCCAATCGGGCACAGGCCCAATCCCAACGGTCAATATTGATGATTGGCTAGGGGGTCTCTTTATGGCTGGATTAGCGTGTTCGCACCTGCCGTGGGCAGCCCTATAAAACGGACGGGGGGCCTACGCAAAGAGGCTCCCATTCGAACCAGCTCCCCCTCCCCCCCGCTGCGCGATAGCAATCATTAATGGTTGCCAAAATGGAATAAAGCCACACAACTAAGTAAATACAAATAGTCGAGCGATACGTACATATATTTACGAGCAAACGACTAGTCGCTTCAATGGCCACCGAATCTTGAGAACTATTATTTGCATTTACATATACGAGTATGAGTAGTAGTGCTACCCTGTAGCCAGGGGTGGTTAATGTGCAGGTAAATCCATTCGGATGGAAAGTGTTCTTTCTAGGCCAAAGGGTAAACTTTCTTCTCAACGGGTATCCCGACTGTCGTTTCTTTTGTCTCGTTTCCATTCTTCCATTTTTCTCTATTTTTGTTCTGCCTGCGCGCAAAACAACAAGCAATAAAGCAAAGTTCCATTGGAATGGCTTGCAAGGGCTGCGGCAGGTACAAAACTGCTAAATGTTGCTCATAAATTAACGGCAAACTAAACTGCAAGCGAGGGAGGAGCAGTAGGAGTGGTAGATGGTGGAGGTGCAAAGGAGAAGAAGTCGTGGCTAAGGCTAAATGCCGTGAGTGGCAAAAGATCGACGACAGGCAGCAGCAGGCGGCAGGCAGCAGGCAACGGGCAACGGCAACTCGTCGCAGCTGCAGTGAAAATAACGAAAATGCATTTTAAAACCCCAAAAGCAAACGAGCAAACGAAAAGGAGAAAGGCGAGAGGCCAGTACACAGGACAGGAGGGCCGGGGCCGGGGCCGGGACGGTAGGGTCCTGCTTGGCAGTGTTCCACAGGACTGGCCACTCGCTGGACTGGCCATGGGGGCCGTGGGGGCCACGGCCACCCTTTCGTTCTCTTCGTCTCCGGCTCTCTGTGTATTTAAGTAATGATTTTGCAAAATATGCGCAAAAGTGCCAACACCAACGCCCGGCAATATGGTGCCCTAAATGGACTGTAACCGGAAGTGCGAATAGCGTGCAGCTGGGACAAGCAGTTGACCAAGATAAGATGCTCGTCGCTTGGTCCAGGACGGCAACGGAACGGGAATGGGGAATGGGGCTGGGGCTGGGGCTGGAGTCGTGTCTCTGGCTAAAGTCGGACTTAAAGTGGTAAATGGACTCAAGCGACAATTTTGATGGCTAATCAGCAGAAAGGGAAAACTCTGTTACACAAAAGTTCACGCCAATTTGTCATGGTCTCACACACACGCACTCACCCACAGATACACAGTCGTACACATGGATGGGGGGAGATACTGATTCCCGACGTGCCATTAAGTGGGCAAAATGTATGCAAAAGTGGATCAGGGCTGACAACAAGGCACAAGGCCTCCCCGAGTGCAATTTTTGGCTCGCGGAAGTGAAAATGGAAATTGTAACGGACTCTCTCTCTTTCTGTCTCTCTTGCTGCAGCTCTCACAGTGCTCTGTTTGCCCCGTTCCCCTGTGCGTTTCTGCTGTTGCCTTATCAACACATTGTCGACAACATGCAGGCAGGGCAGAGGCAGAGGCAGGCAGGCAGGCCCATGGAATGAAACGAAAATATTGAAGCTGTCCTTTGTGGCGGTCGCCTTTTATCGAGCAGCCAATGCTCCGATGCCCCATTGATAGGCCCTCCCTCCATTCTCATAACATTTCTAAAGACAAAAACTGTGAAAATCGAAATACAATTGCTATTCAAAGGGAGATAGAGAGAGAGGAAGAGAGAGAGAGAGACTGCAACAGAGATATTGAGTTGCGGACTCCAAATCCGCTCACGTGTGTCCTGGGTTACGTATTTTCGTTGATTTTCATGGCATATTTTACACTGCATGTAAATACACACACACACACCCACACTACATACATAAATATTCCTGCATCGGTATGGGCGCATTGGTAGAGCAGCCAGAAATAAAATTGAAATGAAATATGCAAACATGAAAAATATGCGCCAGCCGAAAATATGCTACGAAAAAATTGCCCAACACAACCCACACACACACACACACTCGCAAATAAATGCTGCAGCAGCAGCAGCATGCAAACACACACACGCGCGCATACTGAGTTGCATTGGCCGCTCGGCTGCAATTTATTGCATTATCAATAAAGTGAATAAATTTTGAGGTTATTGTGGCGTGATAACGGCAATTTTTTGCTCGTTCTTTTGTTTCTCCCACACGTACATAAATACACATTTACACACGCACTTACACGAGTATCTACATATGTATGTGCATGCAGTATTTGCCCGGAATGGTAATACTGTGTAAATGGGCCTGTTAATTAAAAAAAGTAACCCGCCGCCCACACACATCGCCACAGCCCACAATTAACTGATTAAATGCTTAAGTCGCTCAGTTTCAGGAGAGTCTTCATTCCAAAGGAACAGATGTATTCCGGATTGGATGCCGTGCCCCGAGGAATTCAATCAAATATATACATATAAGTTTCGTGACTTGTACTGCAGTCAAAGAATGCTGTAAATTAGATACATATCTATATATATAAGACAAATTCGTGTCCGTTAAATCGCTTATAACTTCATGGTATTTGATTTGTTGAATTTTTCTCCATCCAGGTAACTTATAAAAAAAACTATGAAAAAGCGACCGCGGCTCGGAAAACGTTTGTATTGTTGTATGAAGTAGGCCTTTCCAGGGCTACGTTTGCTTGCTTTTTTGTATGGAATACATAAATCAAAAAGAAAATTCAGACGCTTGCCTCAAATCATCAAATCTGTGGTTCTATTTGAAGAAACTTCAACTTGCAGTTGAATTGTTGAACGAGCCCACTTGGTGAAGATTTCTCCAAGCAATTGCCGGCTATATATAAATAAAAATAAATTAATTAATAAATATAAATAGATTCCAAATTAAACGAGAAGGAATGTGCGAGTCGCTTCTGGGGACGCGACTCTACTTATCCCGTACTCAGTCAGTATATACATTTTTGAGCATATGATTTTTTATTAGAATTTTAGAACTAAAAAAAAAAATTGTACATTTTACATTTTTTTTTTTGCTACATCTGCTATCTACATCTACAATGTATATTCTTCATCTAACATGTAGATTGTACATGTTCCATTTAGATTCTACATCTCCCCCGCTAGGGTTTGCTCGCGCACTGAACGAGGCAGAGTGTGCGAGCGAGAAAGAGAATCAGTGGCGTGTTTCATTCAGGGGGAGGCGGGTGAAGCAACTAAAAATGAATTTCTTCATTCTGGCTAAAATTATGATCCGATCTAATTCAGATTCAATCTGGTAGATATGGGCATTCTCTACGATACTGCGTTTTCAGTTTTATCGTATCTTTAAAATTGTGCCTGCTACAGATTTTCGTCCTTTGCGGGGGCGGAAGAGGGCTGGGCGAAATTCTGAAATACACTTGTAGCAGTGTGATGTCACATAAGTCTGGAAACCAAATTTGGTTTCTCTAGCTTTTATAGTATCTGAGATCTAGGCGCTCATCGAGACGGACAGACGGACAGATAGACAGACAGACAGACAGACAGACAGACATGGCTATATCGACTCGGCTATTGATGCTGATCAAGAATATATATACTTTATGGGGTCGGAAACGTTTCCTTCTCTGCGTTACACACATCCACTTTTACCACAAATCTAATATACCCCTTAACTCTTTTTTGAGTACGGGTATAAAAAAAATTCTTAAAAAAAAACTAAACCATAATAACAAACATAATACTATAAGAATTGTTATATCCTGAAATCTATCAGAAAAAGTCATTTGGCCCACAGCGGGAAGAAAACGTTGAATTTTGTCGAGTAGTGCTATCGGTAATGGCCGCGATACTGTCGACGAAACGAGCAATTTTGCTTATCGAAAGACTAGTTTAACAGCAAAGTATTCCCGAACATCATTGCTAACCACAAAAATAACAAATGGTTTAGCGAGCATGCAATTTTGGCTAACAATACAAGACTGATTTCGCTTCCATTTAAGTAATCATATTGCAATTTGAACTATCTATGTTTTATTATCACTCTCTGAAGTTTATCTAAAGGTGGTAAATTGAGGCGAGAAGAAGTTCGCCGGGTCCGTTAGTATTACAATAAGAACAACACTAAGATTAAGCCTTCTTATCTCTCTTATCAGTTATTGTCTTATAATTGCGGCAGTCTGCA